CAAGTAGGCAGAGAGAGAGAGAGAGAGAGGGAAGCAGGCTCCCTGCTGAGCAGAGAGCCCGATTCAGGGCTCGATCCCAGGACCCTGGGATCATGACCTGAGCCGAAGGCAGAGGCTTAACCTACTGAGCCACCCAGGCACCCGAAAATTAAAAGTATTTTTTAGAAAAGTTTTAAAATCAGATGCCTAAGTGGCTCAGTTGGTTAAGCGTCTGCCTTTAGCTGAGCTCATGATCCTAGGGTCCTGGGATCGAGCCTCAAATCAGGGTCCCTGCTCAGCGGGGAGTCGTCTTTTACCTCTCCCTCTGTTGTTCCCTGCTTGTGCTCTCTCTTTCTTGCTCTAATAAATAAAATCTTAAATTTTTTTTTAAATCTGCTTTATAATACCTCTGCTTATATAGTCCTATATGCTTGAATGTAAACACTCATCCGAAGGGAGAACTCAAATTTCCATATCATCTAACAGCCTCTGAGAACCTGGTTCTAAATCACCTAGAACTTCAGGGGCACCTGGGTGGTTCAGCAGTTAAGCATCTGCCTTCAGCTCAGGTCATGATCCCAGAGTCCTGGATCTAGCCCTGCATCAGGCTCCCTGTTAAGCGGGAAGCCTGCTTCTCCCTCTCACACTCCCCTGCTTGTGTTCCCTCTCTTGCCGTCCCTCTCTCTGTGTCAAATAAATAAATTAAAATCTTAAAATAAATAAACAAATCACCTAGAACTTCAATTTGATAAAATTTCCAGTTGGAAAATTATACAATTAAATGCTAATGTGTATATGAAAAAATAAGCAAGTAGCTTTTAGAAAGAGGCTGAATAAGGATGTTTGAGGCAGACCAAAAAACTGGGAATTCCCTTTATGCTGTAAAAAAATAAATGGAATATGCAGTCCTTGGATTGGATTGGATCCTGATCTTAATAAATCATTTGTAAGACATTTTAGGAACAACTGGGTACATTTTAATATAAGTTTGGTATTACATGACATTAAGGAATTGTTTATTGCGCAGATGTAATCACGATTCTGAAGTTATATAGGAGAATGCTTCTGGTTTTTTCAAATTTAAATTCAATTAATTAACATATAGTGTATTACTAGTTTCAGAGGTAGAGTTTAGTGATTCATCAGTTACATATAACACCCAGTGTTCATTACATCAGATGCCCTCCTTAATGCCCATCACCCAGTTAGTTCCCCATCTACTCACCCCTTTCCCCTCCAGCAACCTCAGTTTGTTTCCTATGGTTAAGAGTCTCTTATGGCTGGGCGCCTGGGTGGCTCAGTGGGTTAAGCTTCTGCCTTCAGCTGGGGTCATGATCTCAGAGACATGGAATCGAGCCCCACATCGGGCTCTCTGCTCAGCAGGGAGCCTGCTTTGCCTGCTTCCTCCTCTCTCCTCTCTCTGCCTATTTGTGATCTCTGTCTGTCGAATAAATAAATAAAATCCTTAAAAAAAAAAGTCTCTCTTATGGCTTGTCTCCCTCTTCTCCATTCTGATTTCATCTTGTTTTATTTTTACCTCCCTTTCCCTATGCTCCTCTATTCTGTTTCTTAAATTCCACAAATGAGTGAAATCATATGATAAAAGTCTTTCTCTGATTGACTTATTTTGCTTAGCATAATACCCTCTTCCATCCACATCTTTGCAAATGGCAAGATTTCAATTTCTTAATGGATAATACTCCATTGTATACATATACCACATCTTTATTCATTTATCTGTCGAAGGACAATGGGGCTCTTTCCATAGTTTGGCTATTGTGGACATTGCTGCTCTAAACATTAGGGTGTAGGTGCCTCTTCAGATCACTACATTTGTATCTTTGGATTAAATACCTAGTAGTGTGATTGCTGGGTTGTAGTGTATTAACTTCTTGAGGAACCTCCATAATGTTTTCCAGAGTGGCTGTACCAGCTTGCATTTCCACCAACAGTGTAAGAGGGTTCCCCTTTCTCTGCATCCTTGCCAACATCTGCATCTGTTGTTTCCCGACTCGTTAATTTTGATTAACTTGTTAATTTTGATATCACCTCATACCATTCTGACTGATATGAGGTGGTATCTCATTGTGGTTTTGATTTGTATTTCCCTGATGCCGAGTGATGTTGCACTTATTTTCATGTGTCCGTTGGCCATTTGTATGTCTTCTTTGGAGAAATGTCTGTTCATGTCATCTATCCATTGCTTGCTTGAATGATTTGTTCTTTGGGTGTTGAGTTTGATACGTTCTTTACAGATTTTAGATACTGGCACTTTATTTGATAAGGAATTTGCAAATATCTCTCCCATTCTGTAGGCTGTCTTTTGGTTTTGTCGACTGTTTGCTTTGCAAAAGCTTTTTAAATCGATGAAGTCCCAATAGGTCATGTTTGCCTTTTGTTTCCTTTGCCTTTGGAGAAGTGTCTAGTAAGAAGTTGCTGCAGCCAGATCAAAGAGGTTGCTGCCCGTGTTCTCCTCTACGATTTTGATGGATTCCTTTCTCACATTTAGGTCTTTCATCCATTTTGAGTTTATTTTTGTGTATGGTATAAGACAATGGTCCAGTTTCAATCTTCAGCATGGGGCTGTCCAGTGGAAAATAAGCTTTTATAAGGAGATACATAGTGACCTATTTAGGGATAAAATGTCAGGGTACCTATAATTTAAAATACCTCAAAACAAAATAGATGAAGCACATATAGCAAATATTAATATAGTAAAATCTTTTTTTAAGATTTATTTATTTGAGAGAGTGCACGGGTGCACATGAGTGAGTTGCGGGTACAGAGGAGGAGCAGAGTGAAAGGGAGAGGGACTCTCAGGCAGACTCTGTGCTGAGTGCAGGGACTGATGTGGGGCTCAAACTCCTGACCCTGAGATCATGACCTGAGCAGAAACCAAGAGTGGGCCGCTTAACTGACTGAGCCATCCAGGCACCCCAAAACATATTAAATAATAGTAAAATGTTAACAATAACATTATCCAAATAATAACAATTCCTTGTTTGGAAGACTATGAGTTTAAAATTCAAAGCAGAGTTAAAAAAAAAAAAAAACATGCAAGGAGCACCTGAGTGGGTCAGTTGGTTAAGGGTCTGCCTTCGTCTCAGGTCATGATTTCCAAGTCCTAATACTGGGGTCCTCATCAGACTTCTGGCTCAGCAGGGAGTCTGCTTCTCTCCCTCTGTCCCACCCCACTGCTCATTCTCTGTCCTTCTCTCTCTCAAATAAAATCTTTTAAAAAATAAAAATAAATAAAACCCTATGCACAAGTGGTCTCTACTTAGGGAAGAAGGGCTTTGTGGAGTAGGAGGTGGGATGGGGCTAAGAAATATCAACAGTGCTTAGGTATCAGTCAGAATAACTAATAATTCATAAAAGTTATTGAAAATTTAATAAAATTTAAGAGGTTCCATAAAGAAAAGAACAAAGTCTTTTACTCAAGGCTGCATCCTCATCTCCTACTACAATCAATGACCGCTACCAGAAGATGTTCAATGAATATTTATTTATTGGATAAATGAATGAGGGAATGACTAACCATTTCTTCCCCTTAACTAGCCAAATATTTGCATTTACTTTGCTTCCAAAATGGTTTCAAAGAGGCTTATATTTTTTTTAAGATTCACAAAACATTATTCATTTTGAATTAATGAGCTCTTTACATAGCACTTAATATTGCTTCACAAGCTTACAGACTTGGACTATTTTTGAAGAATTATTTTCATTTGTATGAAGTTTACAACTTTGTGTATGTATGGTATTTTCTCTGTAAGTAAACAATAAGCAGTCTGAATTATCACATGAATTCCAAAACTTTGAGTTTTTAACAATTACATGAAATAAAAGCATGGTAAGATTTATTGTTTATACAGTTTGTTTTTTTTTAAGATTTTATTTATTTATTTGGCAGGGAAAGAGAGCAAGAGAATACAAGCAGGGGGAGCTGCAGAGAGAGAGGAAGACGGAGGCTCCCTGCCAAGCAGGAAGCCCAATGTGGGATTCAATCCCAGGACCCTGGGATCATGACCTGAACCAAAGGCAGATGCTTAACCAACTGAGCCAGCCAGGTGCCCTGTTTACACAGTTTTAATTTGTCAGACCCATTTGCTCTAAAATAATGAGCTGAGATTATATGACATCCCACTTGTGAAAGCGGGATGTCATATAGTCAACTTTCACTTGTGTGTTTGATAGTGGGAGACCAGCAGTGCACCTCAAAACAAATAGCACATAATTTTATGCTACATAATTTGGATATTTTATAATATATTTTTAAATTTTTTTATTGAAGTATAGTTGACACACAATGTTACATTGTTTGAGGTCTAAGAGGCTTATTTATACTACTAACCGGATCAAAATTTTAAATTTTAAAACAATAACCAGAGTGAAAAAGATAAACCAAATTCCTATAATTAACTAGTTACTGAAACTGAATAGTAAATTTTTATTTGAGCTGCCTAAAAGCCAATGTAAGAAAGAAAACATATTTTCATTATTAAATAAAAGAAGGTAAACAAATATTTCTGGAGATAAAAAGCTTTTTCAAGTACTGAACTATATCTGACTTCCTAAATTCTTATGAACAGTAACATGGGTATCATGGTAGACACTATCTCAGACATTTCAGTTACATAAAAATATTCATCTGAATTTTGGAGATATTAGGGAAATAAAGTTTTCCTTTCTTGATTTTTGTCAACATGAAGATAACCTTAAATCATCAAGGCCAGAACCCAGATATCCAGATAATAGGCATAACAATATTCTAATGAGCCACTTCATTCATGGCTGACTTAATTCCCCAGAGTAACTAACTTTACAATATTCTGTGAGGTGAGTGACAGGGATAATTTTCCTTTAGGTCCTTGGTGAGACCAAGAGAATAAAAGAATTTAGGTGTCTCGGTCTAGGGCTTTTTCTCTGCTGCCCCCACGATTCCACGGATATTCTTCCATATTTGGTGCTGAGGACTACATTTTACTTTCCTTTTTGTTCCTTGGAGAATAATCCATCCTTACTTCTTCAACTGTAATATCTAAGAGGAAGATTCCCAAATCGGGATATCTAGTTCTGACAACTTCCTAGAAAGCCCATGTTAAATAATAGGTCAACCACTATTCTGAGTTAGAAATTTTCACTGTCCCTTAAAATATATCAATGTTTCTAAAAAGAATTCTCCCTTGTAAAACTGGTTGCTGCCAGTGGCACCATAATTCTCCTGTACTCAATTAAAAATTTTGTAATTATCTTTGATTTCTCACTTTGTTCACATCCCTCTCATATTTACTTAGACCCCACATCCTAACATTTCCCCTTTGAGTCTTTCCATCCACTGCCTTTGCCATCCTTCCGCTTACTATTTCAAATCCTTACCACTTCATACCTGGACTGTCATAACAGCCTCTCATCTGTTCTGCTTCTACCCATACTTTTCCTCTACACTTGCCAAAATAAGCTTAGGGTTTTTTGTTTGTTTGTTTGTTTTAAAGATTTTTTGTTTATTTACTTGAGAGAGAGAAAGTGAGAGAAAGCATGAGAGGGGAGAAGGTCAGAGGGAAATCAGACTCCCCATGGAGTTGGGAGCCCAATGCAGGATTCCATCCCTGGACACCAGGATGAAGATCTGAGCCAAAGGCAGTCGCTTTATCAACTGAGCCACCCAGGCATCCTAGCTTAGGTTTTGTTTTAATCCTGTTATAGCCAGGTTCAAAACCCTTCTGTGGTCTCCCAGTATCCTCAGGAAAAAGTCCAAACTCTTCAGGACGAATTTCAAGATTCAGGAAACCTCTCCTCAGGGAACCCATGCAATCTTATCACCCTTTACCCAGTCTCTGTAGAGCTCACTCATCACCACTGTCTTAAGTCCCCTGCTCAGGCCTGCCACTGTTCTCACAGCAGTACCCCTTCTGAATCTACTTCCTCTTCTATTCTGGTGAAATCTTAGCTACAATTCCAAATTCTACTTACTTTAGTTTTACTTCCTCTTTGAAGTCCTCTATTCTGATTATAGCCCATACTGGTGTCTCCCTTGATTCAAGAAACACTTTCAAATAGGTAAAGCAGAATAGAGATACAGATAATGCAACTATTCCTGACTCCCTACCAGCACTACTTATTAAGCACTTAAAATATGCTTGACACAATGCTCAACACTTTATACCTACTATCTTATTTGACTGTTACAAAAAAAACTGTGAGGTACTACATCATTTTACCCATGAGGACAGTGAGGCTCAGGAAGATTAGGTAACTTTCCTGGACTAGAGCATAATGGGGCTACCACCTGTCACTGCACTCTACTGCAGTGAGCTGTGAACTGCATAGGTATGTGGTTACCCAGAGAAAAGATGGTGGGTGAAAATCTAGGATAGACTGATTCCACAGACTGTGCTCTTAACTATTACATTTTAATGCCTCCCTGTGGATCCAGCTGGCAAGGAAATGACACTATCAATTCCAGTTGTGATTATAACCACATTTCAAAACTACAAAATGAGGAGTGCCCGGGTGGCTTAGTCAAGCTCCCATAAAGCTCCCTCCTCTTTGAGAAGCCTGCTTCTCCCTCTCCCACCCCCCCTGCTTGTGTTCCCTCTCTTGCTGTCTCTCTCTCTCTGTAAAAAATAAATAAAATCTTAAAAAAAAATAGCTACAAAATGAGATGCACTATTAGCAAGACAGAAAATTAGAAATTAAGATAGCCAGGGGAGCCTGGGCGGCTCAGTGGGTTAAGGCCTCTGGTCATGATCTCAGGGTCCTGGGATAGAGCCCTTGCATCGGGCTCTTTGCTCAGCAGGGAGCCTGCTTCCCTTCCTCTCTCTCTGCCTGCCTCTCTGCCTACTTGTGATCTCTGTTTGTCAAATAAATAAAATCTTTAAAAAAAAAAAAGAAATTAAGATAGCCAAAAAAGCTTAGGATATAAGATGTTTTGTCTATATCATTTACTAATAATTTTTTTAGGTTCTTCCTGTTATTTCCTGAATATATATCTAAATTTCCAGAGAGTAGAGCTGAAATTGGGAATGAAATACCTCCATAAAAACCTGCTGAACTAAACACTTACTAGGCAGCTGACTAAAATTCAGAACAGTTGATCTTTTCGGTCTTGATTTTTTCATGTTAAGCAAGACTATGTACCTCTTAGCAACTTTCTTTCTGCTTTCTTTCCTTAAAAGCATCTACATTTATTTGCCGTTCCCCATCCTAGTCTCTAGTTCCTACCTCCAAACCTTCCTTCATTTGAGCCTGCCTGGCAACATTTTGATGTACTTTCCCCAATAAAAGGTCCCACTTGATGGCTGGTTCCTCCTTACCAAATTACTGATAACTTCCTTTAGCACCCCATCCTTTGTCTGTCCTATTGTTAGAGTTACAACTTTATTACTGTGTACTTAACACATTTGGCAATTCTGCAACTAAAGTATAGGTAATGGCCCCAGTTTCAGGATAACAATTACTATTGTACAGAAAAATACTTTTAAAACCTTCATTAAAGAGCATTTACGATTCATATACGTCCTAAAGTTTGGCTTACTCTGAAGCACTTACGTTATTATTGTGAAGATATTCAATTGCTCGAAGGATCTGGAAGAGGTATTTTCTAAGTCGTTTACTCTCTAGTCCGTGACAATAATGTTGTAGCTCATCTAATACCGTGTGGTCAATAAATTCAAACACCAAATGAATTTTCTTTTTCTGCCTAAAAACTTCAATCAGATTGACCAGGTTTTCATGATGAAATTGCTATTAACAGAAGAAACAGATTTATAATACATTATTTCATGAGTAATAATTTATACATATATATAAGATACCTACATAATTTTTGAAAGCATAAACATTCTCAGCCTATTTTTTTAAAGGCTTTATTTATTTATTTATTTATTTATTTGAGAGAGAGAGAGAGATCGAGAACGAGCATGAACAGGGAGAAGAGGGAGAAGCAGTCTCCCTGATGAGCAGGGGGCCCAACTTGGGGCTCCGTCCCAGTACCCTGGGATCATGACCTGAGTCAAAGGCAGACTCTTTTTTTTTTTTTTTTTTTTTTTAAGATTTTATTTATTTGACAGACAGAGATCACAAGTAGGCAGAGAGGCAGGCAGAGAGAGAGGAAGGGAAGCAGGCTCCCCGCTGAGCAGAGAGCCCGACGCGGGGCTCGATCCCAGGACCCTGAGATCATGACCTGAGCCGAAGGCAGAGGCTTCAACCCACTGAGCCACCCAGGCGCCCCCAAAGGCAGACGCTTAACTGAATGAGCCACCTAGGTGTCCCTATTCTAAGCCTATTTTACTCCATGAATGTCAATAGGAAATTTTCAACTTATTTGTTTACATTCTTATTTTTAAAAAATGCTAAACCAGGGGCTTCTAGTTTAGAGAGGCTCAGTCAGAACAGCATGCAACTCTTGATCTTGCAGTGGTGAGTTTGAGCCCCATGTTGGGTATAGAGATTACTAAAAAAAAATAAACCTAAGAAAATGCTAAACTATTTCATAGTTAATACATACAGAACAAGGGGAGATGTACTGTCTTACTTCAAGTTGGCTTTTTTTTTTTTTTAATTTGACAGACAGAGATCACAAGTAGTCAGAGAGGCAGGCAGAGAGAGAGGAAGGAGAGCAGACTCCCTGCTGAGCTGAGAGCCCGATGCAGGGCTTGATCCCAGGACCCTGGGATCATGACCCGAGCTGAAGGCAGAGGCCCCAACCCACTGAGCCACCCAGGTGCCCCTCAAGTTGGCATTTGATTATTTATTAAAATAATTTAGAGTTAATGTACTATAATGCAAGTTGGTATGCTGCTAAGACATACCTTTTTTTTTTTTTTAAGTTTTATTTCTTTATTTGGGAGAGTGAGAGTGTGTACAAATGGGTGGGGGAGAAGGACCCGGAGAGAGAGAATCCCAAACAGGCTCTGCACTCAGTGGATGTGGAGCTCCATTTCACAAGACTGAGATCATAACCTGAGCTGAAATCAAGAGTCAGACACTCAACCTACTGCATCAGCCAGGTGCCCCTAAGACGTATCTTTCTTTTTTTTTTTTTTTTTAAGATTTTATTTATTTATTTGAGAGAGAGAGAGAGATATCACAAGTAGGCAGAGAGGCAGGTGGGGGGCAGGGGACGCAGGCTCCCCGCTGAGCAGAGAGCCCGATGCGGGGCTCAATTCCAGGACCCTTAGATCATGACCCGAGCCAAAGGCAAAGGCTTAACCCACTGAGCCACCCAGGTGCCCCAAGACATATCTTTCTATCCCTCAACTTGGTTCATAGTTAAGTCTAACATCTGGAATTTAAAATGTTATGTTTTCAAATGAGCATGGATTTTAATGCCACTCAGTACATGATGATTTCAAAGAAATGATTTTCTTAGTTTGATCCTCAACTCTCAAAAGTGAAACATAAGTTCCAGGTGGACAGTATAAATTAATTAATTACACTGGAACAAAAGAGAATCAAAATACATAGAAACTTTACAGATACACAAAATAACAATTTACAGTCATAGGAACTTCACAAAAATATACAATTATTTATGGATACCTTTTTGTTCACTGTTTGTAACATTCTACTAAATAAAATAAACACCTTAAACTAGTAACAATCAGTGTTAACTTCAGAAGGTAAAAAATGGCATTTATCAGCTTAGAAAACAAATGAGGTTCAGTATTTTATCCCGCTTATTTTTTAACATGCTAACTTAATTATTACCAGTTCTCAAATATTTAACATTTTCAAATTACTAAAAGCATTTATTCATTTGGCTAAAAATTGAGAGGTATATTTTCAATATTAGATTCATTAGAAAATTAAATGTTATGAAAAATATTTGTCTTTATTCTAACAGCACAATAATAAATTTTTCTACTTATCTGTACTAACACATAGTCCAAAGTCCTTAAAATACAACTAAAAGAAAAACATGCCAGAATATAATGCCAGATTACTTTCCTATTTTGTTCCCAATTTCCCTGGTTGGCAAGATGCCAGAGTGCCGCAGTGACACCATGCTAGTAGCACCAAAGACAACTGACTGCTTTTGGACACTACACTACTAATCCTTCAGCTAAGAAAAATTACTGATTCCTTCTCTAGTCTTTATTTTAAAGGCTAAAGCAACGAAGAGTTAATGTGAGTCAATAAGCATTATGGAAGATCCACCAGGGGAAAGAATTTTTTCTCAGATTAACCATGAAACTCCTAGAAATTCTCCATTGCTACTCCTCAAGTTGTTTACTTTTGTTTTCCTTCATTACCAGACAACTTTTCTACAGCTATTGTCACTAATTACTCTAACTGTATTTAATAAAATTCTAGCAGATAAAAATTTAATTCAAATGAAGTCATAATGGCAACCTTTTTAGATTAAAAATGTGAATTAATCCAAGAACTCTCTCTTGTTGAATTAGATAAAATCAATTTAAAAATCTCAGGCCCATTGTGGAGCCTACTTAAAAATAAAACAAACAAACAAAACACCCAAACAAACAAGCCAATGAGAATAAATAGTTAAGGTGTTTCCAAACAGTTTGTATAATAGTTGTAATAGTTAACTACATCTTCTTCTTTTTTTTTTTTTAAGATTTTATTTTTATTTATTTGACAGACAGAGATCACAAGTAGGCAGAGAGGCAGGCAGAGAGAGAGGAGGAAGCAGGTTCCCCGCTGAGCAGAGAAGGAGCCTGGGATTATGACCTGAGCAGAAGGCAGAGGCTTTAAACACGGAGCCACCCAGGTGCCCTGTTAACTACATCTTCTATTTGCTTTATGTGTTCTTGCAACATATTGGTTGTTTTTACAAAATGATAAACTAGAAAAAAATAATCAGCTTAAATGTAACAGAGCTGAAGAAAGAGCAAAAGATATTGCCTGGGAAAAGATCTCCATCTAAGCAAATTTTCACTTATGGCATACAACAGTTGCCTTATGGTATTACAATGTTTTAGGTCATCAGGAACAGCAGCGGCATCTCACAAAATCATAACATCTTCACTGATTCTACCTTTTCTTTACACTGTCTAGAAATAGAGTAACTCAACAATCCACAAATAGAGATGCCTAATATATTTATTTTATTTAAACAATTTGAGGGACACCTGGGTGGCTCAGTTGGTTAAGGGTCTGCCTTTGGCTCAGGTCATGATCCCAGGGTCCTGGGATTGAGTCCTGCATTAGGCTCCTTTTTTAGTGGGGAGCCTGCTTCTCCCTCTGCCTGCTGCTCCCTCTGCTTGTGTGCCCCCTGCTTGTGCATGTGCACACACTCTCTCTCTCTGACAAATAAATAAAATCTTTAAAAAACAAAAATACAAGCAAAAACCCAAATTGATCCATCATATCTAATATAGACTTACAAAGAAAGAGGAGAATTTCATAGAACTAGAACAATTAATCCTAAAATTTAGACCTCGAATAGTTAAAGCAATCTGGAGAAAGTAGAATAAAGCTGCAAGTATCACAAGCCCAGATTTCAAGATATACTACAAAGCTACAGTATCAAAATAGTATGATACTGATACAAAAATAGACCCATAGATCAACAGAGTTCAATGGAACACACACATAAACAGAAGAGGCATAATGAAAAGAACAGAACACACCGATATGGTCAATTAATTGACAGCAGAGGCAAGAGAATCACAAAAAGACAGTCTTTTCAACAAATGTACTGGGGGAACAGGACAGCTACATGCAAAAAAATGAAACTGCACCACTTTATAACACCATTCACAAAAATAAACTCAAAATGGGTTAAAGACCTAAATGTGAGACCTGAAGCTGTAAAACTCCTAAAAGAAAACATTAGGCAGTACTCCCTTAGAGATCACCCTTAGCAACATGTTTATGGATCTGTGTCCTCAGGCAAGGGAAACAAAAGCAAAAATAAACTATTGGGACTATACCAAAATAAAAAGCCTTTGCACAGCAAAGGAAACCATTAACAAAACAAAAAGGCAACCTACTGAATGGGAGAAGACACTTAAAAATGATGTCTAGGATAAGGGTTTAATATCCAACACATATAGGGGCGCCTGGGTGGCTCAGTGGGTTAAGCCGCTGCCTTCGGCTCAGGTCATGATCTCGGGGTCCTGGGATCGAGTCCCGCATCGGGCTCTCTGCTCAGCAGGGAGCCTGCTTCCCTCTCTCTCTCTCTCTGCCTGCCTCTCTGTCTACTTGTGATCTCTCTCTGTCAAATAAATAAATAAAATTAAAAAAAAAATAATATCCAACACATATAAAGAACTTACACAACTTGACACTAAAAAAGACAAACAATACTATTTAAAAATGAGCAAAGGACCTGGATAGACATTTTTCCAAAGGAGATATACAGGTGGCAAACAGACTCATAAAAGATGCTCAACAACACTTGTCATCAGGGAAATGCAAATCAAACCACAATGAGATATCACCTCACACCAATCAGAATGGCTAGCATTAAAAAGACAAGAAAAGAGGGCGCCTGGGTGGCTCAGTGGGTTAAAGCCTCTGCCTTCGGCTCAGGTCATGATCCCAGAGTCCTGGGATCGAGCCCCGCGTCGGGCTCTCTGCTCAGCAGGGAGCCTGCTTTCTCCTCTCTCTTCCTCTGCCTGCCTCTCTGCCTACTTGTAATCTCTGTCAAATAAATTAAAAAAAAAAAAATCAAAAAAAAAAAAAAAAAGACAAGAAAATAACAAGTATTAGCAAGAATGTGGAGGAAAAGCACTATTGCGGGGGCTGACTATAAATTGAAGAATCTGCTATGGAAAAGAGTATGGAGGTTGCTCAAAAAATTAGAAGTTGAAATAACACATGATCCAGTAATTCCATTAATGGGTATTTGCCCAAAGTGAAAACACTAATTCAAAAAGATATATGTGGGGCACCTGGGTGGCTCAGTGGGTTAAAGCCTCTGCCTTCGGCTCAGGTCATGATCTCAGGGTCCTGGGATTGAGTCCCGCATTGGGCTCTCTCTCTGCTCAGCAGGGAGCCTGCTTCCCTCTCTCTCTCTGCCTGCTTCTCTGCCTACTTGTGATTTCTGTCAAATAAATAAATAAATCTTTAAAAAATATATATATATGCACCCCTATGTTTACTGCAGTGTTATTTACAATGCCAAGATATGGAAGCAACCAAAGTATCCGTCATTACATGAATGGATAAAAAAGATATGGTGTGCATATACAATGGAATATTACCCAATCATAAAAAAAAAGATTTTTTTTTTTTAGATTTTTTTAAAATTTATTTCTACACCCAATGTGGGGTTCAAACTCAACAACCTGGTATCAAGAGTCACATGCTCTACTGACTAAGCCAGTCAGGCGCCTCCCCCCAATATGAGATCTTAACATTTGAAACAACATGGATGGACCTAGAAAGTATTACACTAAGTGAAATAAGTCAGACAAAGAAAGGCAAATACCATATGACTTCACTTATATGTGGAATCCAAAAAACACAAAACAAATGAACAAACAAAAAAAATCAGGGGCACCTGGGTGGCTCAGTGGGTTAAAGCCTCTGCCTTCAGCTCAGGTCATGATCCCAGGGTCCTGGGATCAAGCCCCGCATCGGGTTCTCTGCTCAGTGGGGAGCCTGCTTCCCTTCCTCTCTCTCTGCCTGCCTCTCTGCCTACTTGTGATCGCTGTCTGTCAAATAAATGGATAAAAATCTTTTTTAAAAAAATCAAGCAGGCTCTTAAATACAGAAAACAAACTGGTGGTTGCCAGAGAGGACAGAGGGAAGTGAGTGGGTGAGATAGATAAAAGGGGATTAAGAGGTACAAACTTCCGGGGATAAAACTAAAAAAAAATTACAGAAACGAAAAGTATAGCACAGGGAATATGGTCAATAACATTGTATGTGACAGATGACGACTACACTTGATGGTGAACACTCAATAATGTAAAGAAATGTCAAATCACTACACTGTACACTTGAAATTAATATAACATTGTATGCTAATTATACTTCAATTATAAAATAGAGGTGAATATTACTTTTGTATCAGATAAAAATGAAAGACTGTTTTCTTCATCACATAAAACATCTAGACTATATTGTCAAAGTCATAAACCTTAAAGCATCTAGATAAATTCTAATAAATAAAATATGTAGATTTAAATTTTTTTTTAAAGATTTTATTTATTTATTCGACAGAGAGAGAGATCACAAGTAGATGGAGAGGCAGGCAGAGAGAGAGAGAGAGAGAGAGAGAGAGAGGGAAGCAGGCTCCCTGCTGAGCAGAGAGAGCCTGATGCGGGACTCGATCCCAGGACCCTGAGATCATGACCTGAGCTGAAGGCAGCGGCTTAACCCACTGAGCCACCCAGGCGCCCCATAGATTTAAATATTTTTTTAATCACTAGTTTTGTACCCTAATCCCTAAGGAATGTTAATGCTCCTTTCTTCACAGTCCTAAGTTCTTTCCCTTGGGTTGACCTGTCATACCTACACAAAATTCTGTTTTCCATCCCATTTCTAAAACCATACTAGTCAGCTTTACTTAAATGTATTCTTGTCACAAAAAATTCAACATTTCTAAAACTGAACTAGTTTCCAGTCCATTTCTCATTTGGGTCTTTCATATTTCCATCAGTGAGAACAGTCACTGAACCTCATTAATTCTTCTGCCTCCCTCTGTTTCCTTCTACATTCTTTCATGTCTTCTTTTGCAATATATTCTATTTTAACTTTGCTTTTCTAACTTTAAATTCAAGTTGCTGCAACCCAGCAAGGATTCTCATAATATTTACCAGGATTCTTGAATTAAATTTATAACAGACCTCCCTATTTTTACTCTGTCTTCCAGACTTTTCTAAAAAATAGTGCTAAATTATTATATATAGTTGCTTTATTTTGAATTCAAAACCTTCCACCTCTTACAAAATCAAAGTTTGTCCTTTTAAGCCAAGACTTTAGAACCTAACTCCAGTTTACTTCTCTAATCTCACCTCTTTCTACTCTGTACAAAAAAATCTACAGACCAACCAATGTCTCTGCTCTCTGTTCTTTTTCGTGCTTGGACATCTGAGTTTATGTTGTTCCCCTAACCTAGAATACAATAGTTTCTACCTCCTACCTAAATTTTGCACATCCTTTAAGACCAAATACATGTCCCATTTCCTCCAAAAAAATTTCTCTACTTAACTGGATTTTGTGTTAATCACTTGGCATTTATTATGAGTCAATACAATATTCAGTATTGTTTTCAAGTGACTTTCCATCTTTCTGATTAAACAATAAAAGTACTTTAGAGCAGATACTGTCTTTTACTATTTCTGAAAAATATTTAATAATATTTGGCATAATTTTTGTTACATTATATATAAGCATATATATCTTGTATCACTATAAAATTTCAAAATGTAGACAATAAGGTACCACACTTTTTTATGTCTACTCTATGTCTTCATACATGTGTTAACTAAAAGATTCCTTATATAATTTTTTATTCCATAACAATTCCTCTCTTGATTTATGGCAATTAAGGTAAAAGAAGCAAACCTTTAAAAACTTTATTTCTCTCGTTGCAATTTTGTTGACAGATTTTTCCGGTTTTTCATAAAATATCTTAATGGCCACTATCTGCCCAGTATCCTTATGTTTACACTTCATGACTGTTCCATAACTTCCCTCTCCCACTTTTCCGAGGGTTTCATACATCTCCATTTTCAAGTCCGGATTCTTCTTCATAAAAATAAAGGAAAAAAAAAGTTAAACATTTTTACTTTTATTTATTCAAGCTGGACATTGCATTTCCACAATACACCCGTATTTTAAAAGACGTAAACATGGAAAATATTAATCTTTTCCACAGATGCTTGTTTGTCCTCGGTAACTCTGCCAACTAGACAGTAGGGTGTCCCTGTGGGGCTCCAGCGCTCACCAGAAATTAGGGAGCTTCCTGCTGTCTCGGTCATTCCCGTGAACACGCAGATTTCAGATTCCCTCACTACCTGTCACCAATTCATCAGGAATGGGGTCCGCATACTTCCCGTCATATGGCCCTCAACTATGGTGGTTCCCGAAATACTGCCGTGGCGCACAGATTAGACCCCCGGACCGAAGAAAACCTCAGCCCCGCCGGTTCCTCAAACCAGACCTCTTAGGGTCCCGGACCAGTGTTGCACCCCTTGCCCTGCAGCAGACCTCGTCCGGTCAGCCGCCGACGTCTCAGCCCATTTTGTAGTCCCGCCGGCCTGGCTCCGCCGCAGATCCGGCGGAACAAATGGACACCGACTGTATTTAGCTTGCCAGCCCGGCTAGCTCTAGGGAGCCTGCTACCATGGCAACACTGCCGCTGACCTCGCGCTCAGGGCCTACTGCGCAAGACCGGAACATCAGTCGCATCCGGCACGACCCGGAAGAGAAAATGAGATATGGTGAAAATGAGTTCTAGGTGCGTGCCAAGTGAAAGCTTTTTTGGGCTTGCGGTGGGAAGTATATGGGTTGAGACCAACTCACAAGGCTGGTTTTGAGCAGAGGTGGAGGAGAATCCACATTTTACTGCACCGAGAGTCTGCGTGTCTTTTAGGGAGGGGCAAGAGAGGCGGAGGCTTGCCCGACCTGCGTCTTAGATGCCCCCAGGACAAAGAACTTCTGCCGCTGGCTCAGCGTCCTAAAAGGATGGCTGGAGTCGTTAAGTAGAAACATGTTGTAAAACTAGTCTTCCAAGGAAGTCTTGTGTAATAATAGTCGTCTAAGTTACCTAGTGACATTAATATTTCATAGACCTGAGTTCGATCTCAGCTGTCGAAATTCATCTTTAAAACGAGGTTAAGACGTTTGTCAAATCAAGAATGTTTCTTGAACACCTTTTACTGCTACATACTTAAAAAATTTTTTTTCGACTCGTAGAACACCTTTTTAAAAACACCCTCTTAGGGAAAACAAGTAAAAGGGTTCTGTATATAGACCGACGTGGCCCGACATACAAGGGCGCAGCAGAGCGGGGGGAGGGAGGACCATTAACTATTGCTTAAGAACTGGACATGGGGTTCTGCTGATCTGACAGCCTCCATAAACTATGAGTTTCCGTAACAATTACACATTGTTAGGTAAGTGACATAATACGGTATTTTTTGAAGATTATCTTTACCATTTCACTGCGTGTGAACCTACATGTATGTCTTCATCTTTAGCTATATCCTGGGGAGAGTTAGGATCACTATGGCAGGAAGGCAAAAAATGAGAATATTCAGCTTTTAATTTGGAGAATCTCATTTGTAAATGCATCACAGAACCTATCAAGAGTTAGGCTTGGCTAACTTGATCACCAAGGCAGTTATAAAAGCAAAATACAGAAGTCAAGACTTCAGGAAAAGGAGGTAGCAAGAAAGTGGGGGGGGGGAAATTAACTTCGTCAATTTCCCTGAAACTCTGGGCAACTTGGTGCAATGATCCCATTTGGCCTTGGGCTGGAGAATTACCCAGAAGTATGTAAAGATCTCTGAGTCCTCCAGACCATTAAAGCCCCGAGGCCAGGAATCAAAGACAATGGAAGGAGGGAACTCAAGGAAATGTCAAAATCCTCACAAGCTGCACCAACACCTCTGAGCTCCCTGGTGGTGGGTGACATTTCAGGCTCATTTGCACCTTACTTGCTGGTGTAGAAAAGTGAGGTGAGTTATCCGGGTTAGATACATAACCCCCACCCATGTCTGCAAAATCTCTTCCCCACATCCGAGTCATATTTGTAAGGTTTCTTGACAACCAAGTACCCTTCTAAATGCTTTGAGATTTCATCTCCATGTACCCTCATCTTAGCCAAATCCATTGACTTTGACACATTTTGACTGCTAGAATGTAATTCCATAGAGATAGTCAACAAACCTTAAGACAATCTCTATACCATTCTTTTTTGTCCTCAGAATTTCCAACCCTGGCAACCCCAGCGTAATGCACATACAGGTTATTTGGTGACCTTATGGGAGCATTTCAGGGAATTTTACTTGGTGTGGGCCTTAATATTGCAATGCTGCACTTACTATTAAAAAAATGGAAGTTCCCTCTCTCTGTCCCATGTACCAGATTTGATAAGCCATTGAACCAACAAGAAAAGATTTTAAATCTATATTATTTTTGGCTCTGTTTTAAAGAATTAAGAAATAAAACAGGCTTTTGCTCCCGCCACGATCGCCGACCCTGTTCATGAAGCAAACTGGAGGAAAAACTAGAAAAGACCTCTCCCCGTCCGCAAACCCATAAATTTAATCATTTGCTCCATAGACCTGACGGAGATTCAGACGACACTCCCACGTGATCTGTTCTAATCTCGTCAGAGGGACACGTGGTTCTAGATACTTCGTCCCCTCCCCCTCAGGGGTGGATTGTTGACAACGCCGCCAGCAGTCACGTGACCTTACGTCATCCCACCTCCTTTCCCTGAAGTCTCTGGCCCCGGATGCGCCTCTCTGTCCCCACCCGGTCGAGTTTAAAGTACTGAAAGGGGGAGACACAGGATGGTGTTTCGGTTTCGGGATTTCTTAATCCATAATCTCCAGACTGAGAACAGAGAACACTGATTTATCGATTAGATCGGGAAGCCCAAATGGATAGAACCCTGCGCAAAAGCTCCCGTAACGAGCTCTCATACGTCCCGTGCCCTTCTCCCCCACCCCTCACTCCGTGGTACTGGCGGAGGGCGGAGGGATCTGGAGGCGGCGGAGGGAGACGTCATTGCAGGGTTGTTTGTGCAGCCTCGGCGGCGGCGGTGACCCTCAGTGATTCGGCCGCCGCGCCGGGGGGTGGGGGGGCTGCGCGGGACTCTTTTCTTTCAGACTGACCGCGGGGCAGCTGGGGAGCATGTCGACTCCGGCCCGGAGGAGGCTCATGCGGGATTTCAAGCGGTAAGGGCCCTCACCTTCGCCTGATTGAAGGCTCCTCCCCATAGCTGCGGGGCTGCAGGGCGGGGATCCGGGACACTTTCCTCTCATAACCCGATGAGGGCCGACCGTGGGCCCAGCGGTACCGACGGCAGCCCAGTCCTAGCCCCCATTCGCACTCCCCCATCCTTGTTTGCTCACTCTTCCAACGCAAGAAATTTCGATTACCGCTCCCCGCCCCCAGAGGTAGAAAGATGGCTGTGGTCTGTCCAAGGATTCCCCGCTGCCCACTTGGGTCAGCTGCCCGACGTTGGCCCTAGAGCTCAAGCCTCATCTCTCCGCCCTTGCATCCTGTCGTGTCCGCCCCTGTCCCCCAGAAGCAAAGCCTTGCAGAATCTTTTTTCTTGCTTGCTGCACCAGTTTTCCCGGATAGCCCTGCGGTCTTCGCTGAGGGGCAGGGTTGGGGCGAAAAGCGCCCCTCCCATTCTTTCTGCAGTGAGGGTGGGGTCTGCAGCGCGAGGTCCGGAGATGGTTAACCCATCTTCCGAAACCCGACTCTCCCTCACCCGCCCGAAAGGACCTTGAGAACTGGCTTAGAGACCTGGGACTCGGGCTGGCAGCCCGGGATGCCAGTGCCTTCTGGAACTCAGCTCTGTGGCCTGGTGTTTAAAGCCCTATCTATAGCCTCCAAAGTCTGGAAAAATGCCTTCTTGGGGACTGGCGCTAACCCGATACTCCCTGGGCCTCCTTTTGTAAAATAGGGTTTTGTTAGGTGGTGCTTGGGTTAGTGAGGAGGAAGTGACTTTTTTTCAGTTGTTTACCTTTGATTGAATGCTTGGAGGTACGGGGGGAAAATGAGAAAACTTAGCATTACGATCCACTGCACATTTTTGAGTGTGGTTTGTTTTTGTTTTCCTGGAGAGATCTGCCCTGATTGAGACAAAATACCTAGTATAAAAACTTAGGTTAGCTGCTCAGGCAGTAACCTTTCAACTTCGCCACTATAAAGGCATAGATGAGGCATTTGGAAGCCGTTCTTTTGGGCTTTGGGCGGTTTTATCATTGAATGTATTCGTAGTGAGCCGTTTACCTTTGGTGGGCGAGAAGCAGCCTTATTCTTTAAAGGCTTCTAGTCGTGTGGCTTGATGTATTTGAGCCTGACTGAAAACTATTTGAAAAGCCTAATTTCAAAGTATCATGTCCTATGGCAATCACTACATACAGATATGTGTATAAAATGTCTCGTTTATTTTTCTATTGAAGTGACAGCCCTTACAAGGAGATGCTCTGGTGCAAAAGTTATCTTCTCCAGCTTAAAATCAAATTTCATGTTAACTCCGATGAGTGAAAGCCATGTAATAAAACTTCCAGTTTATGTCCATTGTTGCTCTGGTTTCTCACTGCTCATCTCTGTTAAATTCTGAGTTGAACACAGAGCACCTTTGGTAGTTTTCCAAGGGTTTTCAGGTTATGAGAATTTGATTGTGACAGATGTTGGAAGGTAGCCTTGTATCGGGTCTCCTGATAGGAGAGGTAGATTTAGCTGTAGCGCAGATCTTTAAAATAGGGACAGATGAAAAACATAACTGAGGCTTGATTATTTTAAAAGCTGTTGCTAATTGAAGCAAATGGGATAAAGCTACTCTCCTGCTTAAAACTAGTTTGCTAATTAAATTGAATATTAGTGTTTTCAGCCATTTAATGTTTGCCTTGGTGTGGGGGGTTGGTGGCCATGTTGCATTGGTAGCAATGGTTTAGACTCACACAGACCGCCTTTCCATATTTACAGCAGCAAAAAAGATGGTCTGTGAAAATGGTTTTTGCACTTGGGGCTTTTAATTTTTGT